AACAAAAAGCTTTTGAACTTCTTAAAGATAAGTTATACTCTTAAATATTAAAAAAACTAAACCCAAAATTATACTCTTAAATATTAGATCCAAACCTAAAATCCATACTCCCAAACCCTAAACCTCATATTCATACCCCTAAACCCTAAACTCAAATTCATAATATCTCCTCCCCTAGTTTCTGTGCCTTCAGCCACCCTACCTCCCACCACTCCTTCATCGGCTTCTCCACCTCCCACAATTCCACCACTTGCTTCTCCTTATTTCTTAAATCATATCCTAAACCTCTAATTCATTCCCGATACCCTAAAATTTAAATATATATGTATATACATTCTCTTCCTCGATTTATCTACCTCCTGTCACTCCTCCACATCCCATAGTTTCACACCCGCTTTTCCTCCTAGAACTACCCTTTCATAGCTCCTTTGACTTCTCCACCAATCACAGTTTTAGCACGGGCACCTAGAAAGCCGAAAGCCAAGCCTCTACATTATCACAGTTAACCTCGAGCACAACGTCTTCATCAACTAAGGCCCTTATTCCTAGCCTCGACGCTTCTTCACTAGGCCCAACTGTAATCGATGTGGTATATTGACCAATAATGTGACGATATCCTCTACTCCTTTGATCGTGAGGTATTCGTCCACTGAAACCACCTCATGTGGAGCAAGTCGACAATTGAAGAAAGTCAGACATTGCTTCAAGATAAATCAATGGCGCTAGATTGTGATGTTGGTAGGTTTAGATTAAGGGTTGAGGTTTGAATTGAGATTTATGGTTTAAAATTAAAAAATCAATTATTTTAATTTTAATTTTTGGCATTTAATATTAATAAATTTTTTATGTCATAATAAAAAATAATAAAATAATACATGTCATTTGAGAGTGATAAAGATGTGAGTAATTTGAAAATTTAGTGATTAAATTTAAAAAAAAATTAACTTTTAATGATCAAAATAGGAGTGACAATATATTTGAATGATGAATTGTGTAATTTATCCTTGTATATTAAGTATTGACAACATAGGTATACCATGTAGACATAACTATATAAACTCGAAATATCTAAAAAGAACCATACTCATTTTAATCATTAAAATTCACTTGATGAATTTAAATATTATGGTTTTTTTTATATCTGCGTGATTGTGCATGAGACACAATTTTAGAAATATATTTTTAATGAATTTTAAACATTACACACTTGAATTAATATTATTGAAAAGTTAATCAAAAAATAATATTATTGAAGAGGAAGAAAAAGAAAATTAATAAGAAAAATTAAAAGAATTTTGTATAAAAAATGAGGAATATATTTATACATTTTTAAAAGAGAAAATAAACTCAGTGACAAAAAATATAAGATAATATACGATTTTGACCAACTTTTTTTGGATTTGCGAAAATGACCAACAAAATCGCAATGCGATCTCTAATTCGCATTGCGATCTCCACTATCGCAAATTCGCTTTGCGATAGTCTACAGTCGCGTTGCGATTTTCCATTTCGCGTTGCGATAGTCTACAGTCGCGTTGCGATTTTCCATTTCGCGTTGCGATAGTCTACAGTCGCGTTGCGATTTTCCATTTCGCGTTGCGATAGTCTACAGTCGCGTTGCGATTTTCCATTTCGCGTTGCGATAGTCTACAGTCGCGTTGCGATTTTCCATTTCGCGTTGTGATAGTCTACAGTTGTCGTTGCGATTTTCCAAATTCGTTGTGATAGTTAAAAAAAAAGATTTTGTTTCTTAAGAATTTTCTCTAAAAAGATAGTATCCGCGCGGACGTGTCGAAGACACGTATGACCACGACCACGACCACGACCACGTCCACGACCACGACCACGACCACGACCACGACCCGAGACGAGACGAGACGAGACGAGACGGACGGCGGCGGCGGCGCGCGAGAGTCCCCTTGTTCTCTATCACTCAACAAGGAAGTGGGAAAGCCAAGCCTTAAATACCATTCCCAATAATGTTTCCAATACTATGTGGGATTTGAGCATTACCAACACTTGTTCCCAATACTATGTGGGATTGAGCCTTAAATAGTGATATTATTTTTGAATGTTTTGCTTAAAATTGCAATAATCGCGATTGATTGTAGATTGACTTTTAATTATGACATATTTAATCGTATAATACTAATGTAATTGGTTGTTGATTCAGTTGTTTTAAGGTGCATGATTGTTAATTGTTTCCTGAATAATCACATTATATTGGAAACAAGTGTTGGTAATGCTCAATCCCACATTGTATTGGAAACACTTTTGGGAATGGTATTTAAGGCTTGGCTTTCCCACTTCCTTGTTGAGTGATAGAGAACAAGGGGGACTCTCGCGCACCGCCGCCGCCGTCCGTCTCGGGTCGTGGTCGTGGTCGTGGTCGTGGTCGTGGTCGTGGTCGTGGTCATACGTGTCTTCGACACGTCCGCGCGGATACTATCTTTTTAGAGAAAATTCTTAAGAAACAAAATCTTTTTTTTAACTATCACAACGAATTTGAAAAATCACAACGACAACTGTAGACTATCGCAACGAATTTGGAAAATCGCAACGACAACTGTAGACTATCGCAACGCGAAATGGAAAATCGCAACGCGAAATGGAAAATCGCAACGCGATTTTCAACTATCGCAACGCGAAATGGAAAATCACAACGCGATTTTCAACTATCGCAACGCGAAATGCAACACGAATTTGCGATGATAGAGATCGCGTTGCGATTTCAACTATCGCAACGCGAAATGGAAAATCGCAATGCGATCTCCAACTATCGCAACGCGAAATGGAAAAACGCAACGCGATTTTCAACTATCGCAATGCGAAATGCAACGTGAATTTGCGATAGTGGAGATCGCAATGCGAATTAGAGATCGCATTGCGATTTTGTTGGTCATTTTCGCAAATCCAAAAAAAGTTGGTCAAAATCGTATATTATCTAAGATTTTTGGTCACTGAGGTTATTTTCTCTTTTTAAAATGCATAGTAGCAAAAGTTGAGTAAGGTAATGACATATATAAGAGTCTTGTTTTTAATCACTTAAATCTAAATTTAAAATATAATATTTGAAAAGGGTGAAAAATTAATATCTAACTAAAATAGAATCTATCATAAGTTTTGTATCGGTTAGATATGATTAAATTATTTGATATATATATATATATATATATATATATATATATTCAAATCAAATCATTAAAAATATTAATTTGAACTGATTCTACTATCCATTAAATTTCATTTCTTAATCATTGCATATTCCACAATAACAACATCAATTCATTTGTTCCTTTTGAGCCATTTGACGCTTCATCTTTTTTTTCTTCAATTATTATTAATATAATTTTCGGTTTTATACCATCAATTTCATTGGTCACGGCGTGTTGATGTTGGACACTGAAGCTGGAAGAACTGATAAATAATCTTGGACGCTTGTGCTTAAGCTATCCTCCATTTCTAGTTGACGTGGCAATTTAGAAGGACATAATTGTCAAATTTGAAAAAAATGCACGGTTAACAAACCGTTTCTTCTGCATTTCGCATTAGCTCTCCCACTCTTTATCCACCGTCTTATTTCCCTCTATTAATATCGTAAACCCCAAATCTTTCGCCACAAAAGAAATCCTACGAACCCTCTCATTCTATTCAATGGAGTTGTTTTCATTTCAAGGTCCGATCAAATTGTTTCACACTGCTTCTCATTTGTATATATATGCTTTCAATTGTTTTGCCTTTTTTCATTTGGACGTGGATATTAGGTGATTAACTGCTGATTGTATTACTATTTACGTTGATCCGCAGAGGAAAGAGGTGAAATCTACCATATGTTCGATGCAGCTTTTAAAGGAAACTTGAATCTGTTCAAAAGTAGTGATTTATCATTTGTTTTTAAAATGAGATTTTAGAGTTTCTTAGATTGTTTCATACATCACTCTTTTTTGTTGTATATGAACCTCGAGTTGGCGTACGAGCTTGAAGTGGAAGGCGATTTGGCTGAAAAAATTGCTTCCGGTAAGGATCATAGTGGCCTCAATGCTCTGCATGTGGTGGCGTCGGGTGGACGAACGCATGTACTGAAATATCTTAATTTTGAGCAACAGGATGCCGGCTGTGTGGCGGCACTTGTTCTTAATTTTGAGGATATATATTTTATACAAATTCATTATTTATTAACGGATCAAAATATTATGTTTCTTCTCTTCTTATTTTGTTTTTATATTTTTTCTCCTTTCATATAACTATACCCTTCAACAACAAATTGTTGATAGGAGATATAGTGTTGGGGTGGTTTTTAACCATTTTGGTTTAGATGGAAAATCATAGTCCGTATTTAAGCAGTGTTGGTTATAGGGATGATTTAAGGTGTTCGTGTCAGTCATAGGGATGATGGCTATTGATGAATTTGATAGATAAATAATTTCGACTGTCGTATAATAAATTTAGCTGATGATGTGATTGACAGTATCATGTCGAAGTAATGTGACCAAGTGGGAGGAATGATGAGTTGCCTTCGTTTGAACCTTGAGATATCTTACGGAAAATTCCGGAAATCTTGAATTCTTATGCGAAAGAACTTTAGGATATCTTATAGAAAATTCCAGAAATCCTGAGTTCTTACGAGAGAGAATGACATCAGAGATATAATTTATACGGAGAAGTACAACACAAAAGAATAATTTTCTATCTTGATGAGGTGATCACATCGTAGGAATATGTGAAGGTAATTTGGTCATGACAATGGATTAATATCGCTAGTAGAATTACCTAATCAATATATCAAATAATAACCCATATATAAAAACACCAATAGTCATCATTGAAATTTTAACTTTGTTCCATAATGACAGTTCAGATAAGACGCAACTTTGGATCGATCTTTGTCTGCAGGCGGAGGATGTGACACGTGGAAGAACTTGATTGGATCTATGTGGATAGGGGATATCAAACGAAGGGCTACTAATCAGCAACGGTATTAATCTGTGAACTGTTTGTTAATGAAATGAAAGTGTTAGATTTTGGACATCCAACAGCCCCAAGTGTAGCAAAATCTGCAATCTTTCACCCAATTGTAGGAATATGGCAACCATATCTGCTACCACCCTCACCTCATCAATCGCCCCTGCCCTCAAAACATTAACAAGGCTTGCATCCCCACTTGCCATTGGTAAGTGTGTGTGTGTATGTATTTGGTTTTCATTGTGTCTAAAAGTAAAACATCATTTGCATCTTCAGTTTTATCTCAACTGCAAAGATTTTCTTCCAGGGTTGCCCACAATTGCAATGAAGGGAAAAGTGATGTGTTCCACGGAGAAGAAGGGTTCGATGGAGGGGAATGTGTCGACGACCATGGGCATGAGTGCATCATTGCTGGCAGCAGCAGCCATGTCAAGTCTCCCGGCCATTGCTTTGGTGGACGACAGAATGTCGACCGAAGGGACCGGACTTCCATTCGGTCTGAGCAACAACCTTCTCGGGTGGATCCTGTTTGGTGTTTTCGGCTTGATTTGGGCACTTTATTTTGTTTACACTTCTTCCCTTGACGAGGATGAAGATTCTGGGTTGTCGCTCTAAGCTAAAATGACTCCTTTCATTTAGTTGTATGTTGTTCATTGTGATTATCATGTTCAAAGGGATCATGTTGTAAAACTCCACCTGAATTGCCCCATGTGTAATATAGTTCTATATTGTTTCTTCATTGATGACTTGATGGGATATAGGAGAGAATGGTTGGCAACGTGTTTATATTTGGCATCGTTCATCCATTGGTGCCTCTGTTTTTTAACAACTAAAGTCAAATTCTTTAGGCAAAAAAAGAAGATTTGTATTTTCTTCCTCGTGGATTAAGAGGTGCTTAAAATTTTTAAATTCTTATATAATCTAAATATTTTTTAATTAAAATTTTAATAAAACTCCCTAAATTTACATTCGTGACATCAAATTCTACTTGGGATCTTTCTCTTAATTTATAAAATGGAATTGGATCTTTGCTAACGTGTCTTGGAGTGCTAACTCAACTTTAGACATGTAAATACACGATTATTCCAGTTCCTCTGTTTACCAACCAACACTACATTCGGAACTACTTTCTGGCATTCATTGGGTCCAACTATGCTTTCAGTCCCTGCAACATTTGCATATTCGAAATTTAGTCCCTTTAATTCCTAAGATTAAAAGTAAATGGGCTGAATTTCAAACATACGGAGAGGAAAGGAACTGAATGTACAATTAGACCTATTTTCTCAAGCAAATAATCTTAAATGTACGCCTTTATATCAACCGCATTGAACCGATGCATCGAACCATCGGTTCATAATATTTTCTTCACTTTTGACGATTAAAAATCGAATTTTGATGTAAAGTGTTCAGTTCTCATACATTTATAAATTATTATGAACTTTTGATTAGAAATACAAATTATTTCTTAAAAAGTCAATTGAAGAAGATGAAATGAACATTATTTATTTTCCTTTTCATCATCGAGAGGCAGCTAGAAATTGAATCATAAAGGTCGACCATGTTCATAGTTTCTTCGTAACGCAGCCTAAATTATATCTTTTATGAAAAGCTTCCGATAAACCCGCATCAGCAGTGATTTCAACCTTGCATCAACCTTCAGAGCCGCCATATACGGCCGACGTGTGCTCGGAGATTAATTTGCTCCACTCAACAATAAAAAGCAAAGTTAACATCTGGTATATGTTATATTGGACCTTTGTTTTCTGTTGAGTAGTAAAAGGCATTTTCTTTTATTCGTTACAGGTGGATATGATTAGTCTGCGAAATAAAGGCAAAGAAAAAAGGATAAATTATTTATTTAGTCATATTGATTATTTAATTATTTTTTTTTAAATCATACATAATATTACGTTTTGATTATATTTTAATTACCCGTTGTTAAAAAATAAATAAAATTATTGTTGTGGTAACTTTTTTCTCTCAATAATTATATGATATTATGTGACATACTATCATCACTATTACTTCTTTAATAATGATTGACTAAAACATAATTAAAATATAACATTAAATCTTTAAAAAAATATTTAAATGACTAAAATTAAACAATAAAAATAAATATATGCCTAAATACATATTTTACCTTGTTATTATTAGCAATGGAACGAAAGAAGGCAGACCACAAATGCGAGAGTTGAAAGAGCCCAAAAGCCGACACCTGCCTCCATCGCAAAGCATATCCACCGGTAGAATTTTTGATAGGAGGCGGACCCCACCCGGCCACCATCGTCGCCCTCGAAATATCCACGTTCGAACCATATAAATATTTACTCTCCACCCAGAGAAAACAGATTTCACCCAAGGAAAAACCACATATGGCCACTTCTTTTACAGCTCCCAAGCTTTCTTCCCCGACTTTCCAGACCCTTTGCCGAAATCTTCCCGTTTTTGTCCCCATACCCAACACCCTTTATTCTGTTTCGCGCCACCATCAACGCCACCACCATCGTTTGCAGCTTCAGCAGCAGCGGCAGCGGCGGCTCCTTTTTGTTGTTCGTGCAGAATCCAATAATGGGTCTGAGCCGTTGCGGCACTACGATTTCGATCTCTTTACTATCGGTGCCGGAAGTGGTGGTGTTCGTGCTTCCCGTTTCGCTGCCAATTTTGGTGCTTCCGTTGCTGTCTGTGAGCTTCCATTTTCGACTATTTCTTCAGAGACCACCGGCGGCGTTGGCGGAACGTAAGTCTCCATGTGTTAAGAAATTTTTTTATTCAACTATGTATATCTATAAATTATTTATTTTTGTGTAAAGAAATTTTTGGAGCTAATTGCTCATTGAATTATATAAACTGGAATTGCGTGTGGGTGTTTAGCAGTTTTGCCATTTGGGTTCCGAGGCTTTTACTTGAAATTGACAATTTCATGAACAAAACAAAAGTTATGTTCTTAAACTTTACTTGCATGAACAAAGCTTTTGCCAGCCTAAAAGCTAAAGTGTATTGACAAAAATCCTACTTGAATTTAGTTTCACCATTATATCAATCACCTCTTTTTGTCTATGTTTGCTTCAAGTTGTAACAAAAAAATGTGACTATGATTGCAGATGCGTTCTTAGAGGATGCGTGCCAAAGAAACTAATGGTTTACGCATCAAAATATTCTCATGAATTTGATGAGAGTAATGGTTTTGGATGGAAATATGACACGGAACCGAAGCATGATTGGAGCACCTTGATGGCTAATAAAAATGCCGAGTTACGGCGTCTTACCGGTATTTACAAGAACATTCTCGGTAATGCTGGTGTCACATTGATCGAAGGTCGTGGGAAGGTAGAATGATCTGTCCACATTGTCTCTTTATGGAATGTTTAAAATCATTTGTGTGTTTTAGGATTCTCGGTTGTGAATCCATTTTGATGATATGTGTTGCAGATTGTGGATCCGCATACTGTTGATGTAGATGGAAAACTTTACACTGCTAGACATATACTGATTTCAGTTGGTGGACGTCCATTTATTCCTGATATTCCAGGAAGTGAGTATGCGATAGATTCTGATGCCGCCCTTGATTTGCCCTCAAAACCAGAGAAGATTGCTATAGTTGGTGGGGGATATATAGCTTTGGAATTCGCTGGCATTTTCAATGGTTTGCAAAGTGAGGTCCATGTATTTATACGTCAGAAAAAAGTTTTGCGAGGTTTCGATGAAGAGGTGAAGATTTGAGCAAAATGATAGCTTCTTTACTTGTTATGTTAATTTGCATTATACTTGTTTTAGAAATTACATTATTTAGTGATAAAAGTATCATCTGTTTAACAGATCAGGGATTTTGTTGGTGAACAAGTGTCTCTACGAGGAATTAAATTTCATATAGAGGAGTCTCCTCAGGCAATTGTTAAGTCAGCCGATGGTTCACTGTCTCTGAAGACCAACAAAGGAACAATTAAAGGATTTTCACATATAATGTTTGCAACTGGTCGAAGGCCTAATACAAAGGTTTGGAGTAACTTTTGTGACTTGATTCTCTCTAGTAAATGGCCTTTTGTAGCCAAATTGCCAGCAAAAGGGTACCAAATTAAAACATAAGTTTTACCAACATAAAGCTTTCACCAGAGAAATAGGTCATAAAAAGCCAAGAGAAAGGAGAAAATTTATGAGCTGCATATTATAAACCCTCATTTTCAAATGTGGTCGGGTTTCTTGCTTTTCATCATTATCTTCTCATTGTGACTTAAGAAACCTATGGCATTATGCATGCAGTGGATATTGATTCTCTCCTTTTAATTGCAACTTCATTTTTAATATAAGTCAAGGTAGATTTGATGGAAGTTGTATTGATTGTACTTTAACTTGTACTGCATTGCAGAACTTGGGATTGGAGTCTGTGGGGGTCAAAATGAGCAGTAATGGATCAATAGAGGTAATTGCTCTTCTTACCCTGGAAGTTTTTCTTGCTTTGTTGTCTCTATTTTCATATATGGTACTATTTTAGTTATTTTGTGTAACTTTTTGCTTTTTTGTTTCTCTAGGTTGATGAATACTCGCGTACTACAGTACCTTCCATTTGGGCTGTTGGGGATGCCACAGACAGAATTAATTTGACACCCGTTGCTTTGATGGAAGGAGGAGCCTTAGCAAAAACTATTTTTCAGAATGAACCAACCAAACCTGATTACAGGTAATCTCTACACTGGAGGTTGATTGATTGAACAAATTTAAAGGATTCGGTACATTTGGAAAGGGGCTATGGCTCTTTATTAGCCTCTAGTAACAACAGTTGAGGCAGTTTTCACCACTTCCTATTGGAACCAATTTTAGTTCCAGATACAGTCTAGCTATTTCCATTGTACTGTTAGATGATTTCCCTGTGGCATATTACAATTTGCAGTTTCAATGGTATAGGATCTAATATCCCGTTTTTATATTATTTTTTTCTTCTCTTCATCAAACTTCCATCCAAGGACATTGTCTTCCTTACCTGTCTTGTTGGTCAAACGCGCATAGTCCAGGCTTCTTTTCCCCTTCTCTATTTCTTTGTGTTTCTTTTTCAAAACATATATTTCTGAGGCCTTTTGCACTAGTACCCAATTATGATAACCTGTCTTCACTCTTGGTAGGTTATCTATTGTTTTGTAGTTTTGTTTTCAGAATTTATTGGATTTTATGTTTGCAGTGACTGAAACCTTTTCTTTGGATTTATTTCGTAATTTGGTGATGATTGGGGGTGGATTGGGTTGCTTGAAAAGATCAAATTTTTGTTTGGTTAGAGAAATCTTCTAAAGAAGTCATAATAAAAATAAGAAAGGAAATAATATACAGTATAATCTATAATACCCTGCCATGTGGGACTCATGTGATGGTGCCTTGGAAATACCGGAGCAGAGCAATAAGAGAGGAAGCCCAGATCCCAATTTTGCTCGTTATCGAGTTACCGTTACTAATGATTCATAAATCCCTGGATTAATACCTGCTTGTAATACAGTGACTCATATTCAAATAAAAGAATGCATTTTGATTTTATAATCTTAGAGTGGACAAGTTATAGGTCTCCGCTTCCTTTTTTATATGAATTTTGTTGGTCTTGGGTGCCAAGATGTGGATTTTATTTTGTACTCAATTGCCTTTTAACTTTTATTCCCATGCATTTTGGAGTAGGGCTGTACCCTCTGCCGTCTTTTCCCAGCCACCTATTGGACAAGTTGGTCTTACCGAAGAACAGGTGAGGAACTGCTTGGCATATTTGCAACAACTAAAAGTGATTTATTGTGCTAAAATATTTTAGGATTTTACAGGCTATGAAGGACTATGGTGATATTGATGTCTACACTGCAAACTTCAGGCCATTGAAAGCTACACTCTCAGGTCTTCCTGATCGGGTTTTCATGAAACTTATAGTCTGTGTGAAGACAAACAAGGTTCTTGGTTTGCACATGTGTGGAGACGATTCAGCTGAAATCACACAGGTTCAAGCCTTTAGCTAAATTGGTGCCCTCCATTTCAAGTTCTGCAGTCTCTTTTTCTGATGTGTGCCATTGTTTTCCAGGGATATGCAGTTGCTATCAAAGCTGGCTTGACTAAAGCAGACTTTGATGCCACAGTGGGTATTCATCCGACATCAGCTGAGGAGTTTGTGACAATGAGGACTCCTACTAGGAAAATACGACAGGGCCCTGAGTCTGAGGTTTATTATAGTTTTCAGCCTTTTGCATTGATACTTGCAATCTAATATGTTTAATTATTTATAATGTTACAAGTTATAACTGAAAATCACTGGAGTCCAACATGATTACCGAGTACTTGCAATGCATTTACCATATCAGAGGTTATTTTCAACAATTATCCAATTTCCTTGCAGATATTAACCAAGTTAAAATATCCCGATAATTGGTTGATTTCCACGCTGCTGTGTTTTCGATGTTGCTTTTGAGTTTAAATTTTGGAATCCTGGATGTTGATACATTTTGATTATTTACTAAGAATCAAGTTTCATTTATGCAAATCAGTAATGTTATTCCTTTTAATGTTTGCACAGGGAAAGATGGGTCACGAGGCAAAAGCTGCAGCAGGGGTTTAGCAAGGGTGATTGAATAGGCTGCATATTGGGGCGTTCCTTTTAAGGTCTGCTGTGCTTATGACGTGCATAATCATTGTTTGCTTTGAGTTCTTGTTATCCCTCTCTAACAGAGGAAAATATGAAAAGGACTAAGAAATATTAATGGCAATTGTAGATGATTGCTGATGTCTTTGTTGGATATGTTGACACTGCCGTGCATAATAATTGTAGATGATTTATAGACGAAATTTATTTATTTGCATCTTAGAGACAAACTTTTGGTAGTGATGCAAAATATTGCCTGTGTACGCAAAAGAAGCTTGATTTTGCTGTGAATTTGTAGTGTAACTTTGTATCTTCAAAATGGGAGGCAGAGAGCTCTACTATGAGACCCATGACATAAGATCCCCATTAAAAGGAAGTTCATTATGCATTGAATAATACATTTGGTACTGATTGCAGAGATATTCATGACAATGACAGGTTGATGCTGATGCCTGATTGTTAACCTCCAGTATGATGCAAAGTAGCTGTTTGATGGAAATAATCGTTCCAAGACAGTTTCTCCTTCACATCCGAGTCAGACATATGTGTCGTGCCATGCCTTGTAATGCATCATGTTCCAACTTCCTACACATCATGTCCAGTAAGAGTAAAAACTACATTGATCATCTTTAGTTACATTTTAGTCAGAAATGTTGTTAGATCACATATAAGCGATATCAGTCACGTATATTTGGTCTAATGTTGTAAGATCAATTATAAACAATGTTGTAAGATCAATTATAAACATGTTATAAATCAATAACCAATTGATATGGCGTGATGAGACGCAAGTTTTAAATCTTTCATTACATTTTAGTTTCTAATAAAGTATTGCAGTAACGAAAGCCAGCTATCTATTTGTTACTACAAACATGTTGCCTTTGATTCCCATAATAGATTCTTCCATTTCATCTACAATTTCCATCACTGGGAGTTGTTTAAAGCAAAATATTGCGTTGTTCTTTTTAGTTAGGATAAGATATTAGTTTGTAATGTTTAGATGCCAAGCCTACTTGCATTGTATACGTTGAGGGTGATCATCGAGCTTGGGCGTTCAGGCTGCATCCAACGGCCATCCTCTTCCCTTACCAAGCCTTTGTTCTCGGTTTTGCCTCCAATATGATGGAACCAAATAATGATCTTTCAATAACTCAGATGCCTTGTTCACCAAATCAGGGTCCCTTCCACTTGCCAGCACAAATCTATGGCCTTTCCCATGGTATCTGCACACCAATTAAATATTAAAACCAATCGATCAATTGTTTGGTGATGACCTCACGTTGCCTACCGTAGGACCCGAAATTTGAAAAGGAGAACACGGTCACGGTTACGTGGTCCGCCATGGCTAGGGAGTTGAAGAATTGACAAGGCGTGAATCTACATCTTCCACTGTATTTTGAAAATGGGTTGAAATTTGAAAATGAGTTGAAGAATTGACACGGTCACGGTTACGTGGTCCGCCATCTCGCCGTATTGAATCAGCTCCAACCTTGAGGATCCATCGGATCTAACATCTCAACCAAATCGTCTTGGCCGTGGATTCCTCACCAAGCATCGGCTACTCGTCTTTCTTCTGGTTTTTCCTTTCCGAGTTCGTCGAAGGAAGATGACAAAAACTCGGTACTTGTTCTAGACAAAACTATACGAACCTTAGCTGCCTGCCTTGTCGCAAATTCCATAATTGTGGTAAGTCCAAGCTGGGGTTTCTGGCCCGAAAACGACACCGGATGACATTTTTCAATTGACAAAACGAGATGATTGGTGGGAATAAAGGTTTTGGGGTAGAGAAATGGCCATTGAAACTAGCAAGAAGATGAAGCAGGGGAGGTCTAGTAATTAAGTGTTGATATGTGTATTCTACTAGACTACGTTCAAATCTTACTATTCTTAAATTTTAATTTTTTTATTAATCTAAGATGATTACAAGTAATATTTATTTTAAATATTTTTAATTATTTGACAATAAAAATTTAAACATCTTTGTAGTGTTTGATTCTCGAATCTAAGACCTTTTAATCACCGAGGTAGCTTAGTTAATCAAATGATAACATGTATTTTTATTAATTACGTAATGTAAAATCACATCAACGAAATATATTATCATAAGTAAATCAATCATTTTTATAAAAAAATATTTAGTCAAAAATAAAACATTGTGTAAAGTATTTTATAAAAAAGAATTAAAATAATTATTTAATAAAATATTAAGAGTTTTTAAAATTTTAATATTTTACTTTTGTATAAAATTTAAGAGTTAATTAGAAATTAATTGACTTTTAATACGACACTTAATAAGACAACGATTTTAAATTTAAAATATTTATTTTAAAAAATAGATTATCGATATTGTTGTTTGCCCAAATATTTTCGATACTGTACGCATATAGTCTTTACTGTACTGATAAACGTTTTCCACACCTACGTGAAGAGGGTAAACTTTAATAAATAATAAATATCATAAGAACGCCCCTCTCACTGTTTGCTTCAGGTTTCGAAATGAGGCGCGAAAACTTGCCATTTCTTTCCGACCAAACCCTCCCTTTATTTTCTCCATCCATATCCCACCCACCCAAATCCTCCGCTCCTTCTCTTTTCTGTTTCGCTTCAATCATTTTTCACATCTTCATTTCCTCTCTCTTCCCCTACCTCCATTGCCCGACGACCATGCACTTCCTCCAGCCTCACATTTCTTCTTCATCGGCAACCGTCGCTTCCGTCGCTTTTAACTTGAAACAGGCCAAACGTCGTGGCAGTTACAACTGTGGGAGATGTGGGCTACCCAAGAAAGGCCATGTTTGCCAAGTAAGCCCCGCTAGTACCACTACTCCAACTTCCACACCAACTTCAACTCCAGCTGCCGCTACCACCACCGATACTTCCTCATCTGCTGCCTGTCCTCCTCATTCTCACTCTGCACGTCAGCCATATTCCCATCTTCGACGTGCACTTGATTTTGATGACATCGATATCCGTTGTGACTCGCCGGAAACCGATTTAGACGGCTACGATAATCCCTTCCCATGTAGGGATACGGACCCGGATAGTGAAATAGTCTCCGGTGGGTTACCGGTAGGGTGTCTATGGGAGATTCTGCGGAGGTTGCCGCCGGCGGGGCTGTTGGCAGCTGGGAGTGTGTGTAAAGGGTGGAGAAAACCACAAAGAGACTGTGGAGGGCGGCGGAGGAGCTGAGGCTATTGGTCCCACCTAAGGCTCAGCTCAGGTTCATCGGGTCTGTTTTACAGAAATGCCCGGGCCTTACTAGCCTTTCTCTTAAGGTGGAAAGGTTCGGTCTAAACTAATCTTGAAAGATCTAAGGTTTTATGCACCGGATCGGTTGATAGCTATGGAGATCAAAGAGTTTTTTTGGAAAAAAATGGAGATCAAAGTTAAAATCATAAAAAACGAACTAATCTAGACAGATATAGGGATTTATGGACCGGATCGGATGTTTGATATGGAGATAAAATTAAAATCTTGAAATGTAGGTTAATCTGATTATATTCATAGGAAAATCATCAATGAAATAAGGATGAAACTAACCTAGATTTAGGAAAGCCATGAGAGCTGCAAAAATCGTGTTCGATTCGAGCACTGTTTTAACCGTAATTTTATAACATCTCCACAAACCATGCATCCGTCTTTGATTAGTATGATTTTTTTTTTATTTTGTTTTCTTGGTGGGTTTTGCAGTGATGTGGATGCAACAACGCTGGCGTGCATTGCGTTTTCTTGCCCTAATATCGAGTCCATGGAGATTTCTACATCGGATGCAGCTGTCAATAGGATCACTGGGTACCATTTCTAACATTATTCTTGATTATTGTTTGATTGATTTCCCTTGATTTTTTCGATGGAAGCACAGTTCTGGACCTGATAATTGGTTGAACTGTATCAGTCTTTTGACCATTAAAATTATTGGACGGTTCTAATGACTAACACTAAGAAGTTAAAATCAGGGTAACAATGTATATGATTCTAGATGAACGGTCTTGATTAATCTTTTCCTCTCTTAATTTGAGATGTTATAACCTAAAAGAAAAAAAAATGGTTATAAAGTTATTAGTTATGTACACCCTGTTTCAGATTGCTTGGTCCGAGTCATGTTGATTCACTTTTGTTCTTTATTGGCTTGGATCTGTCACTTCATATGTTGATTTACTTTTGTTCCTTATTGGCCTGGAACTGTCTCTTAATATTTTAGGTTGTCAACTTGTCATGCATAACATGTTCTATGCTAAAATTCATCTTCATGATGAAATTTATAGGGGTGAGTATTCTATTCAAGTTAATTGAATTTATAAATATTATTTTTTTATTTTAAAGTTAAATTTATATAATTTTAATTGAGTTGAATTGAATATATTTGTTAAATATTGTATTTAAATTTAAATGTAATTATTTATAATGTATTGATGAGAGTGTTAAAGGAATCAAGTAAATGATGTAAAGAAAGAATTGTTAAAAGGTAAAGTTGAAGGATCAAATTGAATAAAACACAAAGTTGAGAGATTAATTGTAAAAGGAGAAATATTGTTAAAAGGATTAATTGAAATTGTACATTATTTTAAAGTGGTTGAGAAGCATATAATTTAAATTTGATAAAGAAATGAACTTAAAATAATTGAGTAATTCAAAAAATAGAAAGTCAATGATAAATCATAACAATTAAATTATTTAGTTGAAGATCAAAATTTTAATTTTGATTTTCCGGTTATTCGAATTTTATAAATTTAAATTTAACTGGAATGTAAAATGTAAACAATAAATTCAAGTTCTTGAATAATTTGAACAACTTGAATAATTCGATTGAAATAACTTAAAAAAAACATTTTTTATTCAAAAATCATTTTTTTCAAGAATTTTGTTCGCCCTTTACAAACAAGAAAGCCCAGTCGTTTTGCAGCTATTTTGGATTTCAAACTATTTGCGGGTTGATGCTTCCAAAATATTAGCTGGTTGATGCTTATTGATCCTGCTTACGGTTGCATGGTAACTAGGCATAATTTAACAAATGCCAGATCAATTTATTTTGATTTACTCTCTTTAATTTTGTACGTGTAGAGATGAATTGGGTCGTTTTGTTGCCGATAAACGTTGTCTAGTGAGCCTTAAGATGGAAGGATGTTCTAATTTAGGGAGCTTTGTGCTGTCTTCATCAAGTCTTTCTACACTTTGGCTTTCTGATCTTTATTCTCTTTCTAAGACGGTAACATTTTTCATCGTCCTTTTTATGTTTTAATTTAATTTTTCTGGGGCATTTAAGTGAATTTGAGTTTTCATATGCTTCTTTTTGTAGGTTCTGAATTGTCCCAACTTGAAGAAGATGTCCTTAGAATTCTCCCGCCAAGAAAATGATACAACCGATCTTATTACCCTGGTTGATGTTATAGGAAGTTGTCCAAGGTTGCAAAATATACACATTGCATCAGTTCGACTTTCACATGCCGTTGTTCTTTCTCTTACAGCTGCAAACTTAAGGTTTCTTGAATCTTTTAGTCTTACATGTTCATTTTAATCAAGAATCGCCTTTATGGATCTTTACAGAGCTTTTCTATATATGAATGACTGCATATGAAGACTGTTCAACTATGTATTTATTTATTTATTTATATATACATTGTATTTTATTTTTACTTTTAATTTTTTGACTATCGGAGTTTTTTTACGGAAGTTGTTCTTAACTTAGTGTTGGGGGTAGTTTACTAACCTACCTCCCCTTACTTCATTGCATATGGGAATAAAGTTTTGTTGTTGTTGTTGGACAGAGTTTTCCTGTATTGAGGAGTAGCAATTCTTTGCTTTGTTTCATGGACTTGTGCATATTACTGGTTTGATAACGATTGTATATTACTCAGGGGCTTGCGGATGCTTTCTCTTGTTCTTGGATCAGAAATCACGGATGCATCTGTTGCTGCTATTGCTTCAAGCTATTCAAGATTAGAATTACTTGGTTTGAGTGGGTATGTTTTGCTGTAAGCTTTGATTAATTCATCCATTTGTCTCCTCTGAATCCGAAAATGATTGCTATATTACCAATCAATCATCAGCACCATGTATCCTGATGCTTGCTGGTTGGTTTCAGATCAAGTATTACCGACAGCGGCATCGGAATGATATGCAATGTGTTCCCCAACACATTGTCAAGACTCCTCTTTGCTCTTTGTCTGAAATCACGTCAAGTAATCTTAACGTCCAAGACTCCTCCTTGCTCTTTGTCCAATCTTAGGTAAATCTATTCATTAATACTTCAAATGTTATCTGCATTTCTCAGGTGGAATTCAGTTCGCTGCTGCTCAATTACTCTTCTTGAACTCATGGATTGCGGGATGACCATATGCGATCTCGATTCCCAGAATTCACCTTCCGAAGAAAGTGGCAACAGCAAACGGCACCTTATGTACCAGAAGCTTATCATCAAACACAGTCGAATAAAAAAGCTCAGCCTGTGGGGTTGTTCTGGCTTAGATGTGAGATCTTTTAGCCCATAATCTTGAACATATTGTTAGTATTTTCTTAATTTCTTCACGTGGTTCTCATGTGTGAATCCAAAATGCAGGCTTTATGTTTAAGTTGTCCAGAACTCAATGACCTTAATCTCAACTCTTGTAGAAACTTGCATCCAGGTATCCTACTTTCTAGCTCGACATTGTCATTAGTTTTGTCAGTTAATAATGTTCATGTTTTCTTATGTTTTGTTTTATAACCTGTGTTTCGTAGAGAAATTGCTACTCCGATGTCCGAGTTTACGAAATGTGCATGCATCAGGATGCAAGGAGTTGTTAATTGGGTACATTAAAAGCCAGGTAAGTATTACTAAAGACTGTTTGAGTTCCATTTTACACTCTAATTAAGGGCTTATTTAAGGTTTACAAAACGTTGGGCAGTTGAGTGAGAGCTTGGCATCTATGGAGAACCATTTTCCACGTAAGCGTATGGCTGATGCTGATGGGTCCAAGAGGATTCAAGCACCAAATTGTGAGTCAACAGGTATAGTTTTATAGCAGAATTTGGTTACAAGGAAATTCAGATAGGAATGGAGCATAATTTTCTTCTTGGTGCCATGTTATAATGGAATTTCCAATAATAATAAAATGCCTTTTGGGTCTTGATGACATGGCAGTAAACTCCACAATTCGATGGATACTCAAGATTTCTCAACTAAAGGGTTGAATTGGAAAGAAAACAATAATGTTTCAAATAGGAAACGAATATCTAATGTGGAGTTTTGTTGTTTGAAATTGCAGTCGAGTGATGATGATAAGAAACGGAGGAGGGTTGTGGGACGACAATCATGTAACGTAGTTGTGGATTGACTGAGCTAAAATTCCCCACTATTTGGTTGCACAGCATTTTTAATATAGTCACGTCATTTCTTATTTTTCTCCCCCGCTGAATTTCCTTTAAAATAATAGGTATGCAATTGATCTCTTTGAAGATTAAATGCATACACACGTGTTTTACCTCATCTATTATATAGTGGTTTTAAAAAGGTTATTGATACAAGCTTAAGGACTTAAGGAAGAAGATCCATTGAAAACTTATTCTAGAAGAAGGTAACTGATGTTATACAATTCAAATGAGACCAAAAGTGTCCAAAATAGACGTCTAACCCGACCGGTACAAATCTAGAATGAAAATTCAATTTCGTGAATTTTATGGAACATGTCAAAACATGCATGATAGATCCAAAAGAATTTTAAATCAACCGGGACACTTAGTTATAATCAACTATAATTTTTTTAAAAATATTTAGACTTCGTTTTATATCTTTTTTTGTATAATACTTTAATTATTATTTATCATTCTCTACATTAAGATGATATTTATTTTATCTATTTTTTTTATTTATTTAGGTAGTATTTAGGTTAAATTAAATTTTATCATTTACATAATTTTAACCTATCTTAAATCAATATATTACTTTATTTCATAAATTTTATTCAGAGATTTTTTCTTCATTTTTATTCAAAATTCATCTTATTCTTGTTTTAGAATATTGGAGTGTGAGTATTCAGTTGCACAACAGCAAGTATCTAACATCCTTTTTCAGTTAAATTGTTAAAAACAAGATCCTTAGAGAATTATACATTTTCAATTTAGATGCACGTTTATCAGTTAATTCAACGAACCTACTAATATCATAAAAAAAAATTAAAAAAAATGTAAAGCCACTCTTCGTTTCCAGGATTAGGGATGGGCATGGGACTTGAATTCGACGGGTTTTGATCTGACCCGATTGGGTTAGGTTTTTTATAAAAAAAAAATTTGGGTTCGGGTTAGGTTGTTTTTTTAAGGTGGTGTTCAGATTGGGTCGAATTTGGGTTTAGGGTGAAAATATCCGACCTGACCCAAAAAAAAATATAATTTTATCTTATATATTTAGGAATAATTACGATAATATCTTTTTATATATATATATATTTTGAATTAAATCATTATTTTTATTGAATAAAAATAATACTTTTGACTATTTTGGGTCTGGTCGAGTTCGAATTTTATCTCAAAAAGTCAGGTCGGGTAGAAGGTATATATTATGTGGGTCGGGTCGAATTTTGGGTGGAAAAGTCATTATTGTCTAGTTGGATGAATCAAAAATCTGACTCAACCAAACCTATGCCCATCCCTACCCACAACCTCCTCCTACCATAAACATATTTTTGTTTCTCTCGCTTCACTGTGCTGTGCCTAAATCAGCATACGTCCACAAATGGAGACGCATAACATAAATCCCCACATGCTCTTGTTCCCTTTCCATTACCAAATGAAAACCTATTGGAACCTTTCCTTTTATCCCCTCAAATTTTAGTTTCTTATCACTATTCTCGGTAAATATTAAGAAAATAAAGAGAGAGAGAAAACAATTTATTACTACAACACGAATACGTAGTAACGGCCAAGTGTTTTATTATATTTTATTTATTCTAACAAGCAAGTCATATAATAATGTAGAGCTACTAAACAATAAGCAAGTGTTTTCCTGATCCACGACATACACTAACACTCCATTATGTTTTTTGTCCATAACAAATACTAAACTTTAACACAAAATCACTCCATTAATAACATTAATATTATCAGCTGCCGTCACTGCCTTCAGCTTCTGTTCTTGCATTTCTCTAGGGCTTTTGGTGCTGAATTATAGCATATCCATTTACATTAAACTAACTACGTGATTAAATAATTTTTACGAACGAAAGAAGAAGAAGAAGAAAACACTAACCGAGTCCGATTGCTTTTGTTCCTTTCATATGTAACCTTTACATGATTCGATAAACATCCTGATTCAAGCGGGAAAAGTTATGTTGTGAAAAAAAATAGTCTGAATTAAAGTTTTTAATGAATAGGGACGTACTCCCAGGGACATCACCAACAAGCATCCAGTCGCCATCTTTATCTTCATAGGTTGGAAATATTCAGAGCCATTAAGTAGATCCATAAGCTTACTCTCATTCATGAAATCCTTCAATATTCCTTGGGATCCACATTTCCCTTTTTTTACACAAACTAAAGTCAATTAATTATTATAAAAATCAGCTTAATCTTGATTGAATATTGGTTTTATATGTACCATAGTGAAAGAACTGAACATTTTGGCTAGGGCATCGGAGAGTTGCTGGTAACTTTTGTACATCATCAAGTCGACTTTCCGGAGGTACGGTGCGCCATCGAGGCTCACCTTCACGAAGGCCACCTTCTCGCCGACTTCCTTGCCGCTCTTTTGGGTGGATAACATGTTCTTTCGGAATGACCGGACGGGTGGCCACCCTACAACTTGAGCCCTAAAATCATATATGCATGTATATATTTTAATTAACTAAACTGTTTACATTCACTAAGATGACTTTTTCATTTTTCAAATTCTGGTTATAATGAAATGAGGTAAAAATTTAATTCTTTGTTGAGTTAATTAATGAAAAAATTAAGATAAACCATATAGAGAGATTAATTGATGAAAGCTTACTATATTGCTTATTTTCTCTGCGTGTATATTTTGAAATGAAAATTGAACTTTGGTTTTGAGTTTCTATTTTAATTTTCTCGTATTCCTGCTGCCGATCTACGATATTGGACGGAGCTGTGTAATCCTCTATATTTGGACTCTCTCTCCCACAACTCTACTTCATCTCTTCACCATGAATATCACAGCTAACCGCACGTAGTTTAACAGCTAATCACGATTTCTACTGAAGTTAGAAGGAATGAACCGTCCATGGTCGATATAAATTCTCATTAATATCGAGTAAACCTTATTTCAAAAGAATCATATATATTTATCTAAGTTCATTCTCAACACTATACTTGCAGATTCATTCTTGGGGACAACATAAGTATTAACCTCTTTCTCTCGATGGTGTGAGCTCAAGTTATGCAATAAGCCAATAACCCTAATCATCCTAAAATTATGCACAGATATAAATTTCCAATGAAAA